CCTTAGGGGAGGTATATGTTCACCAGTGGACTTGTGAAGGGCTTTAATGATGATGAATGATAGTGGCATTGTATTAATATGATACATAAATAGAATGGATGTTATGAGTAGAGTTCATCTATCCATAGAGTTCATTCTATTTATTTAGGTATGGTGGGGTATAGAATTTTTATCGATATAATTTGGTACACTGTCTTATCCCTATTATTAGTTCCGTGGACGTGCACTTCTGCTATCAGCGCCAAAATGGCGCAAATCAAATCGCCTTATCATGTCACGGTGTATAGCCAGTACAGCGTACTTGTATATATAGAGGTCAGTGGGCAATACCCCTATTACCATGGAGATTAGAGAACAGGAGAACGATCGCTACGTATTAAAGCATAGCCCGCCTGTCCTCGAAAAGTAGAATTTATAGCGGCGCTACAGTCGGTGAGTAGTGGCTGCGAAGTTAGTTGTTTATGAGTACAAGTAGATGAAATTAGTTGAATAATGTAGAAATATTCTTCGCGGCATTTCATGCTAGGTAATTTTTTATTTTTTGACAAAAATAAACATTAAAAAATGGAGGAATATTTTATTGTGCGTGGATGTGCAAGTGGTTTAGCATCTGATCGAAAAAATAGACTGAAAATGATTTTTATTGAGCAAACTTAGCAATCGCAGCGCCTCACTTATGGTGTCCATATTTCTGGGACACCATTTTCTACGACGCTCGTTCTCCTGTTCTCTAAATTCTACACCTAATACACTACCATCAATCAGGGTTCCTACGCTACTTCCTAATTCAGGGGTAGCGTAATAAGAGTAAGGGAGTAAGGGTCCCTAATTAGGGCGTCGAAGTGAACCCGGTAAGCAGTGCCCTTGCCACCGTATAATACCTAAATTTGCGTAAAGCCGAAATGTAAGAGGGCTCTTAAGTCTTATTTGATAGGAGAGGCTCATTCATTCATTAATGGAAAGAGATAGCCCAGTGGCGAAGCATATTCCATTGTCATTCAAATAAAAAAATCCTCTTTTAGCTTCGATCGCTCCCTTTCTAACCTGTGGCAAAATGTTCTATAACGAAATATAACTAAGAAATGTTTATATATCAATTAATATGGAACCAAAAGCAGTGCTTTACCTTGAAGTTGTTTGGGAATGCGTTAGCGAGTGGGGGTACGGTAATACGTTTGCAAGTTCACCTCACATTTCAATGTTTATGTTTGTTTTTGTTGTGTCTGTTAAAAATGTTTGCTTTTTCAAAGATTTTTAGTGAAAATGGAAGGATAATAGTGTTCCTTGTAATGAATATAAGTGTGTTAAAGTGCTAATCGGCGACGAAAAGGTAAAATGAAATTTTAATTCAATAAACATTTTTTCATACTTTAATAGGTACTGGACTCTTTAGTATTAAAGTTTAATTATTCAAGGCGTATTTAAAGGTTTAATAACTCAAACTTATATTATTACCATATAAGTTAAAAATATCATTTTGAACTTCAGAATAAAATATGAGATACCTAGTGTTGCGCGCCTAAGTTGACGTCAGGTACCTGGCACTAGCGCCATCTAGTGTCGTGGAAAAGAACGAGGAGGGCTTCGTAGAAAATGTCAATCTTGACTTTCCACAAACAGCGCCATCTAGTATCGAACAGAAGAATTAAGCTTTCTGGAAGCCCCACACTCGAACTTTCTGCGTCTGGTCGGTTGGCGCCTGTATCTACGGGAATATTCTGGATGTTTCGGTGTAAATGTGTATTTAAGCCCGCTGCATGCCGCGATCGGGGCAGTATTGAATTTGGCGAGACAAGCGAAGCTTCGGAGCGAAATAAAGTGAATCAGAGTGATTAATTATTAATGTTTTAAGTTTAATTGGTGTTCGGTAATACAAGTGTAAATTTTGGTAATTCAATCGGCAGTTTTTATTGTAACGAACCTCAAGCTCGTAATACTAGGTATAAGTTTAATTTTATAGCAAATAATTGTTACAATCCTTTTTTAATGTGAATTTTAATGTAATATGTTAAATGAATAGATCTATTGAGGTTTTTAAAGAATATTTACTTTAGTCCCTAAGGCTTTATCTTCTCAGTTCATTATATAAAATTTTAATAGCACCATCTACTTAATTCTATAAGTTAATTCATTTTATCGAACGAAAATTGATTGATTCTCATGGTGAGACGTAAAGATTACGCTAGATGGCACAAACACGCTGTCGGCTAATTTAATATTTATATTACCTTAAGAGTTAAAAATATCATTTTGTACGATTTATTAAAATTGAAAATGAATAATTATATATTAAATAGTCATTATTTTATGGTAAAAAAATTGCAAAGCTTTATCTTCTCATTATACCATGTCCAATTCCTGTCGTAATCTGTTTAAAAAAAATAATTTCGATGTTTCCCATCTGCCAGGCGTCCCTTTTTGATTTTGTACATAGTTTGTTTGTACTTTGTTCATGCTTTTCTTTTGTTCCTGTATTGTAAGTAAATATTTTTTCCTTTCGCTAAAGCAAACTCAAACGGCTCTTTTCAAAGTCACCGAAGGTATGCAATTGCATGTCATAGAATCTATCTAGTGGTAGTATGTCTTCTGTGTGCTTTGTTAAACATGTCCTTGACAGCACTGAATATGAAACTGAAGAGTGGAGACACATCAAGTTTGGTGTATTTTTATAAAACAACAAAACCATATCTTGGGCTTTCCCTAGTTTGGAGCCCTAGCTTCACCACTAAGATAGCCCATTACATAGTTTTTTTGTTTATATATTCTACGCTCTACACGATTTCGTATGTAATGGAATAAAGAATAAAATAATTAGTAATTTAATGTCTAAGGCGTCGTCCTAATTAGCAACGACCGTACGAGCGTTTGCTCGTTTGATGCGCTTTCGTCGCACGACGGGATTAAACACCCAAATTTCTTTAGAGTGTCCTAATTGAAGCTTGCAAGTGATCGCGCGAGCACAAGAAATGCTTAATAACTATCGTACGATGGTTTTTATCGTACGATCGTGCAATTTTTTTTTTGAGTGTAACGCAGGGGCACGGGTGAGCCGAGTTAGAGACGAGTAGAAACCTAAGAGACCTAAAACAGTAAATAAACTGTGCATGAGCATCTCAGTAAACAGCCATTTACAAAATCTAAAATTGAATCTATAAGAAACAATAGTGGGCAGATTATTAAAGAATCTCAAAAAATTACAAGAATAATACTAGTTTTTACGGATTCTATCGCGTTTATTTTACTTTTTAAATACCCGACGTTTCGAGCGCTTTACATCACCCATGGTCACGGGGAGGGGGGGGGACTGAGACGTTCAATGTCCAAATGTCATAGTTAACCGCGGTTACCATAGATTAAAATTTAACTTTTGTTCCGATCTATACAGTATGAACTTATGGTATCTTGAAGTCTTGCAGTTGTATGCTGGGGTTGGGATTTAATTTTATTTATTATAGGATCCCAAGCAGATGGTAGCACCCAGCCATCTTCTCTATTGAAATTAGGATGTTTTTTTTACTTCAATAGCCTCGCGAATCATCCTTGGAAGGAATCGGTGTTCTTTAGCGAGGATTTGTGGTCTATCAAATCTGATGTAGTGACAGGGGCGATCCTGTACATGTTCACAGACTGCAGACTTCCCGAAGCGTCGATTCTTCACATCAGCTGTATGTTCTTTTAATTGATCTTTTAGTTTGTCCTATGTAGGAGAGACCACATTCACAATCAAGCTTGTACACTTCTGCATCCCGCAGAGGGACGTTACACTTGACTGATGGTAAAAACTGACCAATCTTCTTCGGCGGCTTGAAGTATTTTTTGATGGAAGCGCGCTTCAAGATGTAGCCAATCTTGTCAGTGACTCCTCTAACATATGGCAGTACAGCAGGTACACGCTCGACTGTGCCCGGTTTCACTCGTTCACTGTGACGTAGGCGCGGGACCCGAAGCTTGTTGTCATGCAAAACTTGCTTGACGTGGTGGAGCTCGGCAGCCAGGTGCTTACTGTCACAGATCCCTCGTGCTCTCTGAAACAAAGATTTACTCACGGTAGCTAACTGTGAAGGATGGTGGTGAGAATCACCGTTTAAGTATCTATCTGTATAGGTCTTTTTTCTATACACAGTATGGCTCAAGGTGTTATCAGGATTCCGATTCAGATTTCCGGTCTCACACCACTTGGCACCACTTGGGGGAGGCCTATCTTCGACAGCGGACTTGTAGGGCTGTAGGTAATGAATGAAAAAATACTAAAAATCACTTTTACCAACGCTGAATTTATGAGGACTATGGTGATTTGTTATTCGATAAAAATACCGACCTAGTCCTCGCCTTACGTTGCTTACGCATATAGACGGCGGCACCAATGTATCGACACGTGTATAATTTGATGGTATGCGTAGATGCAATGAACACAAACACAAATGCCGTAGTGTGCGAGTTAGTGACGCGAATCAATTTTACATTTGTAGTGAAGTATAAAGTAGTGTGTTTTTCTTGCGCCCTCCTGATATTGACAGACTTTTTGTTTAGGAATTAACGCGCATGGCCTCTCCAGTTGGTTGAATACTCAAAGGTTTACCAACATAAACCGCCCGCCCTTATACAACATGCGTTCGAGTGATTGGTCCGAGTCTGTATCCGATTTTTCGCAGTCACCAAGCGATACTGGTAGAATATATCTAAGTGTGTGTGAAATTGTTACATTATTGTTTTAATTATGTGTAAGTCCGTCACTACGAAAGTGACTGAGCATGGTTTTTATGTTCGTAGATTTTCCACCGCAAAAAAGGACAGACAGTTCTGTATCGGGAATAAGGGAAAAATGCTATGGCTACTCCTGTGCGGTCCACTAGTGGCCGTGTTGCAGTGTTGCTCTATGATTTTAAGTTTAACTGTAGGTGCTGTTGTGAGAACTTGTTAAAAATAAAAGACAGAAGTGTATTTCTAATGGCTGGTGGAAGAATTCTATACCTATAGTAGGTGTAATTAAAGAAAACAAGATGGTATATCATTCCACTCATAAGTAAATATAGGTACGTATTTTTTAGTCTTAGAATTTTTTGTTATTTTATTTCGTTTTAATGTATTATTAATCAACCTTTCTTTGGGCAGTACTTAGTTTTTATTTAACCAATTTTATCAAAAACATCTAATTTATCCATTGATGGAAAATAACAAAAAATCTGGTGGTAAATAATGATGTGTTACAGGCCACTGATGATGATTTACAAAAAATGTGTATTAAAGTTTCATTTACGACTTTTTCTGCCACCCGGGAAGTGCCACTTTGAAATGAGTGAAACTTTAAAATAAACTTGTTAGAAAAATGTAAGGATATTACTTAATAATTATTTGGCCTTTGAAAAAAAAAATACTTGCAAAAACTTTCTAAATTATTAACATTCAATTTTGAGATAAGATATCATCATGCATGGAATAAGTTTTCACAAAGCGATTTTTCAATCGGAAGAAAATGAACTATTCATATTATACATGACGGTGAAAAGTCACCGTGGTCAGGCGTTTTATAAGCATTGACTTATATATTACTAGCGTAAGACCGACCGAACAACTAAAACGGACCAGTGGTGCGAATCGTTCGACAGTGGTGCGCGCGCAGGACAGATTTGCCTGTCATAAATATGTCTAGTTGCATGGTAAAAGGATGCAAAATTACGATACAAAGATTAAAAAGGAACATGAGATATCGTATCATCGGTAAATAACCTTATATTAATTTTGTTACAATAAAATTATTATATAAACGCATTTTTAATGTTATATTTTACAGTTAGTTTAGTTACGTTACCAAGATTAGGCCAGGGTTGGATTCAGACCCTCAAAAATATTGTAGATGGAAAATAAAAGTATACTATTTTTCAAAAATTGTATCACGTTTGACGTTTAATGTTTCTTTTTTACCATGTGCCGGGATTTTTGCGTCACGCATCTAGTTTATCTACACGTTTCGTTTTTTAACGGTTTTATTTTTATTTCTGTTTAATTTTTGTCTAAAGAACTTAGTGTGATTAAATTTTCAATATTGGTTCCTAATATAGTTTATATTCAATAAGGGTAAAACGAAAAGAGTACAAAAAAAAAAACCATATCTGTTTAGTTGAATCTGAAACCCTTATTCATAAAATATTTTGAAATTCTCTTTTCAAACCGATTGCTTCTGGAGCATAGAATTTTTATTGTGGTAGCCCCTCATTATAGTTGTATCAAGGATGAAACATAAATTTATCGATCGAGCACCGATTGATCAGAAAGGGAGCTAATTCTAATTTTATTAAAAAAACGCGGTACTCGTGTACAATACAGAAATTCTCGATATCGTAGGGTTAATATTAAAGAGTAAAAGGACCCAATAAAAATACAAGTACAATACAAGACCCAATAAAAAATACAAGTCGACCATTAGGTAAAATTATGGTATTTTCGCTTAGTATTATTACGATACTGTATTCTACCAACTATGAAATAGTGATACAATTAGGATAATTATGCTGGACCCTGGTTACGTCGTGTAATGATATGACGTTTGTATTAAGACAGATGCGCTACTTTTTCTTGTATGAAAAACGTATGAGTTAAATATTTAGATGGGCCTATCCTTCCTTTCGAAATCATTGTTTATAAGTCATTATGACTTTAAAAACTAACAACGTTCCAAAATAACGTTTTTCCTTCGCACCGCCATCGTACCTTTTTTCCATTGCTGCTCTCACTGATTTAACCAAACAAAAGGAACCACGCGTATGTACTAGAACGCTTCACCAACTTATCGACTAGGTTAGATGAAATTCGTATATTTAAAAAAAATAGAATGGTATGTACTTATAACATAGCCTATACATATACATATCGGTTTTCTTCTACCTTACTTACCTAGGCTACGTAGGTAAGTAATACCTTACTTAAAAAATAAAAAATCAACCACTGAAATAAAACCTAATAAATCAAAAATAAATAAGTCTACGGCTGGACTAAACTTCACCCGTTGTATTAAGGATTTGACGGTCAATCTGTCAACACCTTAGATTTATGAAAAAGTCAACACTGAACAAATCTGTCACCTGTCTAAAGTCAAGTTACTCAAGTGTCAAATCTATATAATCAAAAATCTTGGAATCTTGGATTGTTATACAAATCTGTGGAACACCCACTTATTGTCAAGGAGAATTTCGTAAAAAAATATTCTTATCATCTTGAGAAAGTTCTGAGTTTTGCCGTTTGTTATTATTACACGTCGCAGGTGTGTTATACGAAATTTATAGTTTAATGCCAAAAGTATGGAACCTGTTAACCATCCGTTTTTATATATTTGGTCGAATGTATGTTGTGCCGTAGGCTTCATGTTTTAATTTTGTTTTTTAATAATAAGAATAGTTTGTGTTAATTTGTAAGTATAAAACTGAATTTGCTAACAGGCACAAATGACGAACCAAGTTTCTCCCGTGGAGGAGCAAGAGAAGCTGTTGGATGAAGCGCTAAATATCGTCAAAGTTCAGGTTAATCTTCTGTTATTTTATGATTTTAACCACTATTTAAAATGGGAGGAATTATACATAAATATTTTGTGATTAGAATAAAAAGAAGTTTTGATTGCTTTACTCAAGTTTTATAATTAGAATAGACAAATATGTTAGCCAATTAGTCTAAGATCCCGCTGCAAAATCACTGCGTTCATTACATTGTGAGTCAAACACATTTTTACGTACATTTATGAATAGGGGAATACACTGATAATACTGCAGCCAGTCAAAAGTGGTGGCAAGTATTTTTAATTAAATTAATGTTAATCAATATTCGGAAAAATAAATCGTTCACTTGTTTTTTAAATAAAATATCACAGCACATAGAACAGTCGAAAAGCAAAAAAAAAAAAAAAAAAAAAAAAAAAAAAGAAAAAAAAAAAAAAATCCACATCATAACAGAGCATGTAAAGAATTCTAAAATATATAGGTGCCGTTGCATACTCGATCGCAACTACCTCGCAACCAGGTGTAAGCAGGTAAGATTTTTATATCAAATTCAAGCAAATTTTTTATTTAAAACGATGATATATTGCTGCCTGTGAAAAAATAAAGTGCGAGAGAGTTAGAACGCAATGCCACTTGTTAGATGAGGATGGTGAATGCCAGCTGTGTGAGTATTTAAAGCCATTGCGCGTGCGTCCTTAGATAGTGTTCTTACCTGGCACCTCAAACAATAGTACTGTAGTGTATTTATTTTATTCGTGACTGTTCGACGAGCCTTTTGCAATCAATCACTTATATATTTAATGTACCCTCATTACAACCCCCCCCCCGCCTTAATTAAGACTTACAATTAGTTATACATATAAGTATTTTATACTATACTGTTATACAGAAAAGGAAAAAAAATCTTGAAAATAAAATATAGTGCGATGGTAACTACTCTTTATAGCTGGGGGGGGGGGGGGTTATCCAAACGGCACTTGCGTACCGGCTGGAAGACCTGGGGCGGCGTAGCGGGCAACTCGGCATCATGGGCGGGTATAGTTCCTTTTTTCGGTTAAAATACGGTTGCAATGATTTGACCTCATTATCGGTGGGCCAATCTTCTCTTAAGTATAGTATAATTCTACCTAAAATCGGATCGCGCTGGGTTTGTTTTTTAATTTCATTATAATCCAGTAACATTTCACTTTGAGCGAAATGTAAATAAGTTTGTTCAGGTAAATCTAAACATTCGTTCTTCGTGGATTGAACCGATACCGGTAGACGAGATAAGCCGTCCGCACAGTTCTGTTTACTACTAACGTACTCTATGTCATAAGAGTAAGTGGATACCGTAATCGCCCAACGCTGCAATCGGCTCGCAGCCATTAAAGGAATGCCATGTTTTGGGCCAAGTGGGCTTGTGATCAGTACGTAAGGTGAACCGTCGACCATACAGGTATTGATGCAATTTTTTTAAGCAAAAGATGATGAATTTGTGAATAATGTTTCTCCGCGTCGCTGAGAGCTCTCGACACATAGACCACCGGCCGCTCGCTTCCCGCTGCGCCGGCGTACGGCTGAGTGAGCACGCCTCCTATACCTCGAGCGCTCGCGTCACACGTCAGTATTAACGGTTTGTTTTGATCGTAATGCAATAATACTTCAGAGAATGGATGGTTTTCAGGCATTCATGTGCAAGAAAGTGGGGAGTGACAACAGCATCCTGAGGATGGTGGCAGATGATCCACATGCACCTATATTTAGGAGCTACGTGCGGATAATGTTCGAATATGTAAAATCCTTAAATTATTTTATTAGAGCCATTTATTTCCGAACTTTGAGGTTACATAATATTTGTGTTTGAGTTCCTATTGTAATACTAGTTAAAGTAAGTCCCTCAGTTCGGTGTGCCTTTTGGCATAGGCCTCCTCCAACTGCTTCCATTGGGTTCTGTCTGCTACTACCCTTATCCAGTATGGTCCCAAGGTTAGGCGGATATCGTCTTCCCATCTTCTGATTGGGCGGCCCTGTTTTCTGACGCCATCTCTTGGGTACCATAGGGTTACTTGATTGCTTCATTTATTGGTCTTGCAACAAATCATGTGACCTCTCCAGCCCCATTTCAGATGGTCGATTCGGGTCAGAATGTCAGAAACCTTGGTATTATTTCTTATTTCCTTGTTGTTAATTCTATCCTTGAGTTTTATTCCCAACATACTCCTCTCCATTGCTCGTTGCCATTTTGCAAGTTTCTCCCGGTGGTTTTGGTTGAGGGACCATGTCTCACAACCATATGTGATGCGGGGGAGAATACAGGTGTTAAATGTTTTCTTCTTGATAGAGATGCTTAGCTCTTTACTTTTCATTATTTCTCTCAGAGACCAGTATTTTTTCCAACCACTAGCAATCCTTTTGTTAATTTCCTTAGATGTTTGGTCACTAGGGCAATTACACACATACTCTTGCACATATTCAAGTCTTTTTCCATCTAATACTATGTTGACTTTTGTAGAGTTGGTCATCAGTTTTGTTTTGATTGGGTTCATTTCGAGACATGCTTCTTTGCTTCTGTTGGCTAAAGTTTGTACCATTGCTTGTAGTTTACTTGGGTCTCCTTCCAGCAAGATAATATCGTCAGCAAACCTCAAATTATTTAAAAGACTGCCATTGATGTCCCATCTATTCGAAATATCCTCCAGCACAGCCGTAAACAGTTTGGGGGACAGTGGGTCTCCTTGTCTGACACCTCTATTAGTGAGAAATAGGTCTCCTTTCGATTCCAGTTTGATGCGGCTTTTGCTCATGCTATAAATGTTTCTGAGTATCTCAATATAGGTATTATCTATTCCTTGTCACCTCAAAGCTGACCAAATGTATTTATGTTTCACTGTCAAATGCTTTTGAGTAGTTTATAAAAGCTATGTAAACGGGTTTACTTTTTTTGCTAGAATTACAAAAACTAGAAGCAAATCAACCCATAGAGCAGGCAGGCTTTAGAAAAAACTACAGCACAATTGACCACATTCACACTATCAAACAAAAATTGGAAAAGTAATTGATACCAAAATCCTTAAATTAAATTATTAAAATTATTATAGTACTACTAACTATTAGAAACCCTTACTATTAGAATTAATTACTAACCCTTATGGATCTATGTTTTCCGAAAATAAAGTGATTTGATTTGATTAAATTTAGTAGTTAAAAATCAGCACATTTAAAGAATAAATTAAATACTCACGCAGCTGGCATTAGCCATCCTCATCTAACAAGTGGAGTTGCACGCTAATTCTCTCACTTTATCTCAGATATCTCGCGTTTTTTAACAGATAGCACTCCTAATTTGCTTCTATTTTTTCACAGGTAGCAATATATTATCATAATATAAGAAAAAAATTAGCTTTAATTTGATATAAAAAACATATGCGTAAGTCATGAACGTATAAGTAAATCAAAATATTGCCTGCTTACACCTGGCTGCGAGGTAGTTGCAGCCGAGTGTGCAATGGCACCTGTGGATTTTAGAATTCTTTACATGCTCTGTTATGATGTGGATGATATTTTATTTAAAAAACAAGTGAACGAAATCTTTTTTCGAATATTAACATTAATTTAATTAAAAATACTTGAGGCCACTTTTGACCGGCTGCAGTGTTATCAATGTATTCTCCTATTCATAGACATACGTAAAAATGTGTGTTTGACTCATAATGTAATGAATGTAGTGATTTTGCAGTGGGGTCTTAGACTGTATATTACAATAATATTTTTATTTCATTATTAGGAATGTTTCTATCACTCTTTTTAGTTATTTCAAGTACTTGTAAAGCACTGATTTCACTTATTAAGCACACAGTTATATGTATTATTGTAGTTAAGGATATTATATATTATAGATATGTTATAAGCTTACATATCATCATCATCATCATACAGCCCTTCACAAGTCCACTGCGAACATAGGCCTCCATAGCTTACATAATCACAAGTAAATTGATATGACCCAGAATGTAAGGATCAAACGAAAGGGGGTTGTAGACCATGGAAGAACTGTTCAAAACAAGTTTAGTTCTATACCCAAATTGCGTGGTTTAAAAGATAATGAATGATTTATAAATTTTCCGGAAAATCACCCTTTGCGTTAATATTTTTGATGCTGCGTCTGCAAATAAGGACGGATTTTAACTATTCTTTTTTTTCTATTTTGTATAGCCTAATGATATTTCTACTATACCTACTATTTTATTTTTCAGTACCTATTACGGTTTAGTAGAAATAAATACATAAAAATTCGTAAAAGTGTAAAAGGGTCAATCAACTATTTTTTGTCCTATCAGAATTATTTAAAAAAAATGTTTATTGTTTTACTTTCAGTTTTTGACTTTATTGAAAGGTAGATAATTTATCAGATTTTTAAATTTCACACCCAGCAGCGCACTTTTTAAGACTAAAATTGGATTTTTAACAAAAAAAAACCTGATGACTAGCCAATAAATCGGTCACTTGGACAACCATAGGTTTTAATTTTTAACAGCTAAAATAAGGGCTTAGGTTTAAATTAAACAGTCTAGTTGTGTAGTTCTATGTTAAATATTATCCTAGAGCACTGAATTATCAGTACTGCATTGACTGTTCTCAAATTATTTTTAGTTAAAATGTCTCTTGGACAACTACCGTCTAAATAAAACATAGAAGTTTTAATAAAAGCATTAAATTATACGTATAATATAATAAAACATAACTGAAGATATTTTTCTTAACACTATTAAGAATATTTTATAATAAGTATTAAGTTTTTTTCCGTTTCTGTCTAAAGCATGAAGGTTTTGTTAATCCTGATTCTGAGGACAAGACAGTTGTCTAAGAGACATAAATAATTGTCCAGGAGACATTTTTATGGTTATATGACCGAATACTTTACATTTATAGAAAAAGAAAAGGATAATTAAAGATATTGATGGTAATTAAAAGTATTTATTTGAGATTTACTACTCAAAAAAGTTGTTTTGCCTTGTATGTTGCATTAGTACGAGTATGTATCTTGCACAGACACATTTCTCTGCCATCGACAGTGGGGTTCACTACAAAATATAATAGTATATTTTGTAAAAAAATATAATAATATACAATAAAAGTATGAACATTTAACTTCCGGGTTTTCCAATTTAAATGACCAGTAAATGTTGATCATCGAATCCAGCAAAAAACATTTCCGAGCTTTTTTTGTACCTCTACCAATAGTTTCATTTTTACCTGCGGTATTTCTAGAAACATCATCTCTATTGAAAAAATCTTTAATTTTTTAATCAAATTATTATCCCAATATTATCCTTTTGGTAGTCTTTTGTACGAATCCTTATATTGCCTTCTAATCCCAATGACTCTTTTACGATCGTCTTCCTTCCGTTTCCTAGTTCTCGAAATATATTTTTGAGAAACGTCTTTTCTTTGTTATTGTGAACTCTTTGATATCGTTCTTTGATCGCATTACATAATATTGTGTATTTATTTTGTCCATCAGATGTGCAATTTGTTTTTATCGCTGGTTATTTCTTTGTCTGTTTAGATTTTGTTTTATTTCTTTGAATAAAAATAGTTGATCGACCCAAAAATGTAACATTAAAGTTTTATCGAGCAAGTTGGACCATTCATACTGTAAAAAAAAATGTACTCACATGGACCTGGCAACTATATTCAATATTTAACGCAATTTATGATGATTTAAAATGGTATAGTACTTGATACTTTTATTTCAACTTTTTGTGCTATAATTTTTGTTTCTAGCCGAAGGAACATTTTGTGCAAATTACTCAATTAGATTTTTTTTAAATAATTCGTGCGTTGGATTTATTTTAAGAAAAATAATTCGTTTTCACGCTGGTTTGGCAGAACATCCACAGAAAGTAGTACCTGTATGTAGTAGAGAAGACTTTAACATTGATGACATAGTTTTTAAGCAGGTTCGAAATGATCCGCGTGATAGCATTAAAAATATTGACGCAAGGGGTGATTTTCTGGAAAAATTACAAATCAACCTTTATGTTTTAAACCACGCAATTTGGGTATAGGACTTGATTTTTTTTGAATGGTACTTCCATGGTCTACAACCCTCTTTTGTTTGATCGTTACGTTTTGGGATATATCAATTTATTTGTGATTACGTAAGCTTATAACATATCTATAGTATATAATATCCTTGTCTACAATAATAACCGTGTGCTTAATAAGTGAAATAAGTGAAATAAGTGCTTTACAAGTACTTGAAATAACTAAAAAAAGTGGTAGAAACATTCCTAATAACGAAATAAAAATATTCCTATAATATATAAGATCCTACTGCAAAATCATATCTCTGTATATTGTATATAATGTTTTATTATCAATTTAAATACATTTCCAAAATTATTGTCCAAAAATAATCTTAATCTTTATGTATCAGAAATTTGAATAAAAGTAAATAATGATATTTTGATAAAAAGTGAATTAATAATTATCACCTTTTTATTAAATGTGCTTAACTAATTAAAGATTAAATTGCAGGCATTTCAGATGAAGAGATGCCTGGACAAATCGAAGCTGATGGATGCCCTTAAACATGCCTCTACAATGTTAGGAGAGTTGAGGACATCCTTGTTGTCACCAAAAAGCTATTATGAGCTATGTATCCTTTTCAAGTTTTAGACTATAATCATAAATCCTGCTATAAAAATTTTTTTTCTTGATAAAAGTTGTGAATATTATACTATAAAAATTCTACAAACCCATATAGCACAAGTTGGAATGGTTTGACATTACCATTTTGTATTTTTGCTTGCATAATTTGATTGCAAAACTTAATGGTAATGTCACAACCCAATTCCAAGCCATTGTGCTATTGTCATATGGGTATTGTAGAATTTTTATAGTATAATATTCACAACTCTTAACACTGGCTCACTATCACACCAAGTCTTTCGGGGTACACGTCCTATCTTGGAGCACTCACACAAAGCAACTGACTGCCGGCACTCAGTGCAACAACCGTATGGCGTGCTACCCCCACTACTTGTGTGTATGAGACAGTGTATTGAATCTATTAAATAGACACAAACACTACAGGTATGAAATTGTTATGTTTTAACATTTATTTCATAAACAATCCTTAACATAGAAATAGACATGGCGATAACCGATGAACTGCGCCACTTGGAGCTCTATTTATTGGAAGAGTTCCAGAAGGGCAGGAAGGTGGCTGATCTGTATGAACTTGTCCAGTACGCTGGGAACATTGTGCCTCGGTTGTATTTATTGATCACAGTTGGTCTGGTTTATATCAAGACCAACACCAACTTGAGGAGAGATCTTCTGAAGGTATATATAATGTAATGTATTTAGTTCTATAATGTCCATATAAAACATGATGCTTATACAGCCACTCTGAAAATGACATATCAATAAACATAAGCACTTGGCTTAGAGGGAAATGAGGCATTGTGAAATGTTGTGAAATGTGACATTCTTGCTAAAGAGGCAATAAGTGATGGGGAGAATGGACTGTGTACCTTATTTCCCTGAACTCTTATCTAAAGTTCATGAAAACTGTACAGAAAAGTGGTCCCAATACTTTGATGAAACGTCACTGTCAAATGGTATTTGGTACAAGACGATACAACCACAACTTTCCCGCTTCCTTTGGTTTGAACGATGCAATATGGGAAGGCAAGAAATTATTACAGCAATGAGGCTTCGTTCTGGACATGTAACATTAAACAAATTTGTGTTTGTAATGAGAAAAGTGAATTCACCAAATTGTGACAAATGTGGAGTTGTGGAAGATGATATTCATATTATGTAGGAATGTTAACGGAATGAAGCCTATAGAAAGCAATTAGGTTTTGACAAAAATAGTGTTGAATTATATAATAGTATCTTAGCTTTTCCATTGTCGGATAAGGCTAGGAAACTTTATAAACTGGTATTGTTAGGTATTAAGAACAGGTAGTCTTTTATTATTGTTTATGTGAATTTATCATTGTTATGTTTATGTGTTTGATTGTGTACCTATGAGAGTGGCTTTACCTAGTTGATCAAACCCTATATAATCAATAAAGATTTTTAAAAAAAAAACTTAATCGCAGTGAGGCAATTTGAAATCATATCTGTTAAGTAAAGCCTAGCAATACTCAGACTAGTAGTACTGCGGTCGGCAATCTGATTGCCACGACTGACGATTTTTTTTTTGGGATAATGGTTACAAATGAGCTCACAGTCCACCTGATGGTGAGTGGATGCTATGGCCTACAGACATCTACTTTTATTCTGTATTAAGATTCAAAACGCAGATGCGTTGTTATTCCTGAGAACTAAGATGGAGTGCCTCATTCCCAGTAAAAAGGCTCTCCGGTCCTCTACACTCACTATACAAAACAGCAGCATTAGACGGTATTCTCTGAGAGCGTGGTCTTACCCTGGCTGCGCCGACCCATTTGTACAACACAAATGTTAGCGCACACTGTGACACTACTCAAAAGCAAATGAATCATTGAGTGTAGATGTAAGGAGAACCGTCTCTGTATATTAAAAAGTGTCCGTAGAAAAGCATTAAATAAGGGTATGCAATAAAATGTACAACTTTTTATTGCACCAACTTTCACCATAATTATTTTTTATAATTATTATTTTATTGTTTTAAAAAAAAAATTATTTTCAAAATTACTCTCCAACGTGTTTCACGGCGACTCTTTCTAGGTTAATATTTAATAAATTATTATAGACAACGTGAGTAGTTGAGGTTTTAAATACTGCAGTTTCATCAATTACTCTAGTCACCACAAATATTGAATTCGCAAACTTCACTCCGTCAATAACTGCTAAGTTCATTTCATATCTTCCAGCTACTCTAGCGCTGTTGTGGAGAGTTTTTGAATTGTTATTTACTGCTTACAGATGGACACTTTTTCAACTGTTCTCCAGGTGAGACGGTTCTCCTTACTTCTACACTCCATGGAATGAATGGCTTACTTCCTAGCAAAGTACACAATGTTGTCAGTAATAACTTAAATTATAACATAGAAATAATATTTCCTTTTAAAAGTAGAGTTCTTTCTTTTTATGGCGGTTTTGATCTTTCGCCAATGTCAGTGTTAAAGTGTTTATTGAGTAGAATAGCTCAGCAGATGCAAATATTCTGCCTTAAATCTCTGTACAAAAGATTGTGATAATACAAGTATCTTATATTTCTTTAATTCAATTTTTCCCTTTTTTTTTTTTGAATTCTAATAATTGGACAGTTGAATTACCTAGAACAAATGACAAACACAGTTGTAGAGCTACATTAGTATGTTAGTATCGACAAACATTAAAGTTTTATGCTGTTGGTGTTAATGAAATCACACAAAAATACGGTTGATGATTCCCTCATCTAATTCACATTCACAGAGGGAGCTATGCCTGATCCACAATTTGGCTAAATGTACTTGTGTGTTAGCATGGCCAATTCGTAGTCTACAAATAATTGATGTTGCATGTTTGTTGGCTTTGTTAAATTTGAAAAACCTTGGCTTTGGAGGAATGGAATATTGTATAGCAGCATAGTGTTTACTTTTTATATTTTCAGTGGATTTCCATAACTTATTCCAATTATTATTTAATCTCTGCTTTACAAGTAAAATTATGTCCGGACAGTAAACTACATTACGTGGTAAAACCATTTTCAATTGCGTTTTTAGTGTGTGTGTGTGTGTGCCCATTGGAGGCAAATCTCAGCCATGGTTTGGTCGCTCCTGTAAAATAGCATCATGCTATAAGCAGGAGTGCTACCAAGCCTGAGACTGACGAATCAACGTCCCGGGATATAAACACCAACGCTCTAAAAAAGAAGTATAATTCCGCCTCTAGGTCCTTCAAAAGAGTCATTGCCAAGCAATCGCAAAGTCAGAGCACATAGGCAGAATTGGCGAGAAACTAGTTCGCCTTCCTTTTGGAAACCGTGCATTCTGGTACTCTCGCCAAGGCTGTCCAGGGGATTTTCTATCAGCCATCTCTTCCATCTCTGAACAGGGAGGACGATTCACTGGCCCATACCGCAAAGGAGAATGCCGATCTGCTAGGCTCTTTCTTTGCGTCCAACTCGACTCTCGATGACGGGGGGAGTACGCCGCCGACCATCCCGCGGTGTGAGTGCTTCATGTCGGAAGTGCAGTTCACACAGCGCTCGGTTCGCAATGCACTCCTCTCTCTGGACATCCACAAGTCGAGTGGGCCTTACGGAATCTCCAATTGTACTGACGACGTGTACCCCAGAGTTGGGACCGGTTTTAACGCGTCTTTTTCGGTACTCCTACTCCCTATGCGTAGTCCCAAAATCATGGAAGACGGCTTTCGTCCACCCGATCCCTAAAAAAGGCGACCGTAGCGATTATGGGCGGCGGTAGTCACTTAACATCAGGTGAGCCGCATGCTCGTTTGCCTCCTCTTCTATAAAAAAAGCCATCAGATCAGTTGTTTCATTGCCATTATGGCCTGGAATCCAAGCTAAAGAAACCTTTTTCTTATATAGGATAGTCACCCTTTTTTACAGTATTTCGGAACAAACAAGCACACAGTCCACCTGATGGTAAGTGGTTGCTTTGGCCCATAGACATCTACATATATCCTCGATTACGAATCAAAATGCAGATGCGTTGTCACCCGTGAGGACTAATATGGAACGCCTCGTTTCCATTAAAAAGGGTCTCCGTTTCTCTACACTCACTATACGAAACACAGCAGCATTAAGCTACTATTTTACGCTGGTATAACCTTAATGCCCTTGAGATGACATCTATACAATGTGTGTTTAATTTGGAGGATCGAGGGAATCTTATATTTACTATGCAATTGGTTTGACAAAATTGCTAACAAACAACTCTTTAGAGTCAGAATTACTGACTTATTGAAGTTATGTGATTCGATGTATATCAGAACTTCATGTATTGCCGTGGCCTCACCAGTAAAAGTGGAAGAAATAGAAGGACATTTAAAATTAAGAATTATTTTGTATTTGGGAATCCAAACTGCTGCTCCAGTACAACTTTCATCTGACTTTTTGGAGGCATCAGTGTATACGATTGTGCCAATCTTTCCATAATTTATCTATGACGCTACTTATTATACTTTTTGCTATAGGATAGAATTTTTCTCAATACCAAGTTCAAGGTGGATATTTGTTTGATAAATAATTGTATCATATGGGATATCAAAGATGGGGCAGGACTTGCATTGTGATACTGGGTATGGTGCATGGAGTAATGTTACCAAACTGTTGGATAAAACAGGGAGATTGTTTATGAGTCCAGTAATGATTAGATGAAATATATTCCAAAAGAAGGTGTAAATGTAAATAAATGTTAGAAATGAGAGGGTGAGAGAAAGTTGGTAGATCTTAAAAAGGAATCGGTCCGAAAGATATTGTCTTCTTAGGTAAAGAGGGGGGTCTGCACAGTCGACTTGGAGAGCATTTATTGGGGAAGATTTCATTGCGCCAATGATTATACCAAGGCATTTGGACTGAATTTTGTCTAGGATTTTTTGGGAAGTCTTGTTACATGGTTCTAAGACAAAACGCTCATAATCCAATTTACTACAGATAAGGGCATTGTACAATATTTTTTGGAAGAATGGGTGAGTGCCCCACCAAACTCCCGATAAAGCACGAAGAACATTTATATTTTATTCACATTTTTTAGAGACATAATTGATATGATGAGAAAAGGTTAGTTTGGAATCAAGGATAACTTGCAAATATTTTATATTCTCCCTAAATAGGATAGATTTATTATTATAGAAAGTGTTGATTTCAGGGACTTGCTTATGGCAAGAGAAGATAACAACACTGTTTTTGGGAACAGACAAAGACATACCATCATCAATTAACCAATTCTGTAAATAAGACATTGATAAATTGCAGCAGGAACAAGCTGCAAGGTTATCCAGGGAAATAAATATATCTATATCGTCATATTGGAGGATGTTACAGAATGAGTTAACAGAAAGTTATAAATCATAAGTATAGATAGAATAGAGAAAAGGGCTAAATACTGAGCCTTGTGGAAGACCCTTCCATACGATTCTTGGTGGGACTAGGTAATTTCGACTATCAATATAAATGGATCTAGAAGAGAGAAACTTAGAGACAAAATTTACTCTTCTCACTGGAATACTCGGATTAAACATTTTTGCCTAAGCACAGGAAGAAGTACATTATCATATGCAGATGAGATATCTAGAAAGACTCCAACGAGGAATTCATGTTTAGAGTAAGCTATACGAATATCAGTTACTAGAGTACTAAGGCTATCCATGGAGCTTAAACCCTTTCGGAATCCAAATGAGCTTTTTGCTAAAAGGTTTTTGCTTTCAAGAAATTATTCCATACGATTTTTTGTTAGGTGTTCAAGAATTTTGGCCTTAGTACAAGAAAGAGCAATGGTATGGTAGATCAGTGTAAGGCTTACCTGGTTTGTGAATATGCAAGATAATTTGGGATTTTAATACTAAATAAAAATCACAAAATTCCAGCCTAGTAAAGAAGAAGTGTTTTCCACGACTTTAATGATATAGATGGCAACGGGAGGCGTACAGTAAAATCTTCCAGCCAGTAAAGTTTTTCCAGACTAATGATAGATGAGTTGTAGCCGACAGTGACTCACAGAATTTAAGCCATCCAGTCCCTCTTTTCCCCAGATAGTAATGTTAATGTTTTAGCAGAAACTTTTCTATAAAAAATATAGTTTTTAAAGTTCATAGAGTGGTAATATATTAATTCAGCCTCTTTTCTCTTCTTACATGCTACAGAACAATCTTGATCCCACCAAGGCGGTGAATGATCATTATTTTTATAAGGTTTTTTGGTGGGAATTGTCTTATTGGTAGCAGAAAAAATAGCATTTTTAAAAGAAGAGTACATCTGAATAACATTCTCTTTCTGAACAGGAGGAAGGGCTAAAAATTCTTCCTCTAGAATTGAGGAATATAGATGCCAATTTGCTTTGGATGTGTTATATTTTAACCTGGTTTAAAAGGAATATTGACTGTATGGGAGCTAGGGGAATAGATAAAAATAGGGAAATGATCGCTGCCGTAGGAAAAGGGTAATATTCTCCAAGAAAGAAGGGAAGATAGGGAAGGGGAACAGAGTGAGAGGTCTACTGCACTTTTAGAGTTTTGGAGAGGGGATACTCCACGTGTAAGTGAAATATCTTAAAATGTAGAGGATCAGGGATCACAAAAATGTGAGCCCCATGAAGTATGGTGCATATTAAAATCACTAAGAATGACCATAGGATAGGAACCATAGGAGTGGAATAATCCTCGTGAGTTCTGATAGGATATTTAAACTAGGTTCAGGAATGTAAACATAAAGGAAATAAATGTTACGAGCTCTAACTGCCACAGCATTAATTGAAAAACTATGAGAAGGAAGGGAAATTAATGTAGTAACTGATCTTGCGATAAATCTAAAGCATGAATAACATGAGACCCTAAAATGGGACACAGGCCTTAGCCAAGTCTCCTGGATGGCTAGGATGAGGTGATGGTATTTTTAATGCGCCGGTTTTTCCACTGAAGTATTGGAGGGAAGGTTATTTGTTAATGAAATGAGCTCAGTAAGTTTTGGAGATATGGAGATCATTAATTCGCAGAGATTGTCATTAGGAGAAACACTGCGCCATGGGAGTGTAGGATGATGTAAGGACTGAATCGATGGTACAGGTTGAGATGGATCTGTAATTAATCTTTTCCGAGGATGAACCGAATTATTGGATACCTGTGATTTTTTTACAATTCGATTGTTCGATTTCAATCGGTATATTTTTTTCGAAACAATATGGGAGGCACACGGAACTCCGTCGGAATTGGGAGGATCTTCCTCCATTTTACTATAACTAATTATATAAATTTATAATTAATAAAACCAACACCAATACAAAGAATAAACAAAAAAAGTAAATCAACAGATCTTAGAGACACGAAATAGTCAAAAATAGAACGACTCTTGTATACCTCACAGATCAGGACAAAACGACGGCTTGACGGCTCTTTGGCGCAGTAACTTAGAAAGGAGTGGCTACGCTGGGGCACGGTAATTTTATTATAGATAATATTACCGTGGCTGGGGGTCGCGGGTTCGAATCCCGCACGGAACAAGTATTTGTATGGCCTACAAGTAATTGTTCCGGGTCTGGATGTTTGTTCGTGTGCAATTTATGTTTGTGAACTGCCCCCACGATACAGGAGAAAATCTTTGTGTGGGGGTAACGGTTTAAAAAAAGAGAAAAGTAGAGTTTCACCACAAATTTATAATAAAATTTTATGTTCATGTATTGAATACGTTATAATTCTATGTTGCAATCTTTTGGAGGCTACACAGGTCTTGCGGACATTTCTCTAATTCGCCGTTTTAGGATATCCACCATAATGAGATGATATCTTAGAAATAGTAATTTTTTTTTATTCAATGTAGATTATAAAAATACTTATTGAAAGTCACTTTTTTAATTTACCACTGGTTCGCAAAAAAAAACCTCTGTCCTGGGAAGAAACAGCAAGAAACCCAGCAGAAAACATAAGACCATGCTCTTATGTTGCTATCATATGAAATAAAGTCATATGTTTCAGGACTTGGTGGAAATGTGCCGCGGCGTTCAACATCCACTGCGCGGATTGTTCTTGAGGAACTATCTCTTGCAATGTACGAGAAACGTCCTTCCTGATACTACAGAAGCTCAGAATGATAGTGAAGGAACGGTTAGATTCATATTTTATATGCTATGTTTAATATATAATCATAATATTTTATATGCTATGTTTAATATATAATCATAATATTTTATATGCTATGTTTAATATATAATCATAATATTTTTTTCTAAATTGAAGAAAGACATGGGGTAAGGTTACAAAAAGCTATTTTTGAGATATTTTTGTTTGAAGTTTAAATCTCTAATCGTGGATAATAGATTGCTTTGATATATTTCTAATTTTTCTTATTACGGACTGCGATTTTTTGTTTTTATTATTTTACTAATATGAAAATGGAACCATAAATATAATTTGGGATACATATATTAGCTATGTACTATACTATACTATACGTATATGAGCGGTGGTAGCTCAGATGGTTAGCGCTCGCTGTAAATTTCACAATACGCGAGCAAACCGGGTTCGATCCCCGCCGGCACCAATCAAATTCTTAATTACAATTTTAAGTGCTGAATTAACACGTGCTCAGCGGTGAAGGAAAACATCGTGAGGAAACTTGCATGTCTGAGAAATAAGAAAAAATATATATTTCGAAGACATGTGAAGTTCGCCAACACGCATTGGGGCAGCGCGGCGGACTATTCCTTGCCTTAAACCCTCTCAGAAATGAGAGGAGGCCTGTGCCCAGCAGTGGGACGTATATAGGCTGTAACTTTACTTTACTTTATACGTATATTATAATTTATAACTCATTTTTAACTAGAAAATATTTTAGTGCTAAGTGCTATATGATATGCAGGACATAGCGTGCCTTACATAGGCCCTTTATCAAAATTTGTTGGGGGGGGGGTCCAAATGAAGGGCCTAAAAACGCGCACAATGAATTAAAATAATTATAGATTGATTACTAGCTGGCCAGGCAGACGTTGTTCTGCCCTTTCCGATGATTCCTTAAAATCGCAATAAAAAAATTAAGGGTTACTTATCGGCTTATTGAAACCACCCTATCTATCAAGTTGGGAAAACTGCATACAGTGTGCAAAATTTCATTGAAATCATGCACACGTTTCGGGTGCTTTCCAGCACCCATAGTCGCGGAGGACTGAGGTGACTGACGTCCCGATGTCAAAGTTAACCCGGAGTACCTTCAGCTTTTTAATTATTGTCTTTGGTCCGATCTACGCAGAATGAGCTAACTAGTTTAATCGTAGACGTCAGTAACCTCAATTCCCCGTGACCATGGGTGCTGGAAAGCACCCGCAACTATGGGTATTAAAAATAAAATAAATAAAACGCCATAAACTTCTGAATTTGGTATCTTCCTTCAATCTTCTCACTCTCCCCCTTCAGGCAACTCACCACTTCCCCTAACTGTAACCCTTCTTTGCTTGATATTATGATCGTTTCTTCTACTAATAGTGTCATGTCTCATGGACAAATAACTGCCTCTTTTTCATATCATGATTTAATCTACCTCTCTTATCGTCTCTGTCCACCTAAAAAGAAATCCCAATCCTTGTTCCTTCGTAATTACAAGGCAATAGATCTGGAGTCATTGCAGCATGATATAAGTAATGTTGATTGGACACCTATTGTTGACAATACTAATATTAATGAGAAGGTTTGTAACTTTAATGATATAATTTTGAAGGTATACAATAACCATGCCCCGCTCAAACGCGTAAAAATAAAGCGTAATCCTGCACCTTGGATTACACAAGATATAAGAGAACTTATGGGCCAGAGGGACAAAGCTAAGCAAAGGTTTAAACGTCTCCCATCTGAAAATAACTTAAATCGTTTTAAATTTTTACGCAACCGCTGCAGTCGCTTGTGTCGGTATGCTAAAAGACGCTACTTTTACAACTCTCTACACAATAAAAATTCTACTGAGATGTGGAAGTTCCTTCGTTCTGTTGGTGTGGGCAGGTCTCCGATCCTAGAATACAATGACGTTAAAGTAAAGGATCTAAACAATCACTTTGCTACTCCTCCTATGACTTTAGATCCTTACATCAAATCTAACACACTACTCGCATTGGCGGGTATACCGAAACCGCACGTTTGCCCTTTTCATCTTACCCTTGTAACGGAGGAAGATGTCAAAAAAATCCATCCTAGCCATCTCTTCATATGCTGTTGGTATTGATGGTCTATGTGCGAAGATGATTTTGCTAGTTCTACCTTTACTTCTACCAATTCTTACTCATATATTTAATTTTTCTGTATCGTCATCATCTTTTCCTTCAGTTTGGAAACAAGCATATATAATTCCTCTGCCTAAGGTTTCTAATCCTTCTTCTTTGTCCCACTTTCGCCCCATATCTATTTTACCCTTTCTTTCTAACGTTTTGGAACACATCATCCATAGTCAACTCTCTCTCTTCTTATCGTCTAACTCCTTGCTCTCCACTTATCAGTCGGGCTTTCGTCGTGGACACAGCACTGTCACTGCTTTACTTAAAGTAACCGATGATATCCGTTGGGCTATGGACAATAAATCTCTTACACTTTTAGTTTTGCTTGACTTTGGTAGTGCTTTTACCTCAGTAGACTTTGATATTCTTCTCCGGATCCTGGAATCTGTAAACATTTCCCCATCTGCCATCGCATGGTTTGATTCATATCTTCGTGGTCGATCACATTGTGTCCGTGTTAATGACACTCTATCCGATTGGTCGGGTATCACTACGGGTGTACCTCAGGGTGGCGTTCTTTCCCCCTTTTATTTTCCATATTTATTAACTCTATTACGAGAGTTATTACATCTAATTACCATCTCTACGCGGATGACTTACAGCTTTATCGTCATTTTCTGGTGGGTGATACAAATAATGCAATTGCAGCTATGAATGCGGATCTAGGCCGCATCTGTGAATGGTCTGCATCCTTCGGACTATTAGTTAATCCCACGAAATCTCAGGCCATCATAATAGGCAGTAGGCATTTGCGTAATAGATTAGAATTTACATCACTACCTTTTGTTTGTTTTAATGGCGTTCCTATACCCTTTGCCAATACTGTCAAAAACTTAGGCGTCATATTTGATCACCATTTAACATGGACCACGCATATCGCTGAAGTTAGTCGCAAGGTCTACTTTACTTTGCATTCGCTTAAATGTCTACAAAATTTCTTACCCCTTAAAGCTAAAATATCACTCGTGCTTACTCTTATCCTACCTCTCCTTGATTATGCGGATGCCTGTTATTTGGATGCTACAGAGGAGCTTCTTAATAAACTTGAGCGCTTGCAAAATCAGTGTATCCGTTTCATATTTGGGCTCAAGAAATTTGACCGTATATCTCAGTTTCGTAAGCAACTCAAGTGGCTTCCTATTCGACTTCGAAGGAACACTCGATTGTTATGTGTCCTCTATAACATTTTGCACAACCCTTCCTCTCCCACATACCTCAGAAGCCGGACAAACCATGCAGAGCCCTTGTTAAAAATCTTCTTGACTTTCCCGTCTTTAATTCCGGTTATTACTCCCACTCCTTTTCAGTTCACGCGGTAAGATTATGGAACTCACTACCGTCAAATACAAGAAATTCCGAAACTTTGTTGATATTCAAGAAACGTCTTAGAGATTACTACTTTGCATCCTGTTAATTATATATATATATATATATATATATATATATATATATATATATATATATATATATATATATATCATATGTAACTATCGTATCAATTATTATTATTATTTATTGATTTATTTTATTTTTATTTATTGTTTTATTTTATATAATTTCCGTAACATTGTATATATTATTTATTTTTAGTAGTACTAATGTATGCACTAAGTTTGCAATTTAAATATAATTTCCTTTATGGGTCTACTGGAAGATATTTCAGCGAATTTGGAATAAGTAGAACCTTTGTACGTAATTACTATAAGACTGCTTCTGTACCTTAATGTGTGTACATAAAATAAATTAAAAAAAAATCCTTAAAAGTAGTCTTAATCAATGTATAGTGTTCGCGTAAATATAAGAATTCATTGAAATCAGTTCAATAGTTTAGGAGTTCATCGCAATTAAACTACGTGACACGTTATTTTTATATATAAAGATAAGTTATTACTTACAATTATACTCCTAGGAACTAAGCTAGCCAAATAATTCAATAATTAATAATTCACTTTTCTGATCTTTTATTCGGCGAACTTATTTGTTAAATTATTCGTAGCTGAAGACGATTACAGTTTTTCTACATTTTCTGTCTCTATAGACAATAGTGACATTAATAAATTATATTATATAATAAAATAATATTGTATTTAGCAGACAGTTTTCCGGCATACTTTTTTTATTATTTCGTTTTAAAAATATAATTTCTCCGGTTGTAATATTTCAAACATTTCGTTTGAAAAAGATTTTTCCGGTTGTAATACTTAGGTGTTAGAGGCTCTGAAATCTTTGTTTAGTTTGAGAAATTAATATATTTAAACAGCAATAGTACACATTGACTTTAAAGTACGATTTCGGGTCTGAAATTCTCTCATCTTCTTAAAAATCATCAAAAAAAAACGCTTCGTTATCTTCTCTCTTTTATTTTATAAATACCACTCTTTTGCTATATTCTGGAGTTGTTCAGCAAACCATGGAATGAACTTTGAATTCTTATTTCGCTCAAGTAATCTCCGATAGAATATTTTAAGCTAGAAAAACTAAAAAAAAAACACCAAAAGAAAAAGGATTACGCGTCCATAAGTTGAAATAACATTTTTAGATTAAGAAACTTAAGACGCTACCCTGACCAAAACCTGGCAAAAGTGCGTTTTTCAGACTCTATTATCTCATTAGTTATGAAAAATAAACTACATCTAAAAGTACATTATTAATGTTCGATATCTTATCATCGCATTCCACGTTCTAATTTATTTTTATGTGCTATAAATACATTTAAAATCAACTTTTAAAAAATGACTAAAATTCTTGATTACATGCATCTGTTGCTAAACGCAACGCTCTAATCATTTGAGGATAACACTAATGGATAGATAATGAAAAAATCTATATTCTCCACGTTTTATTTAA